GGAAAAGAGAGAGAGAGAAGGAAAGTGAGAAAGCAAGCCACCAAGGTCTGAGACTCGAACCGTGGTCGGCCATGTGGGAGTCCAGCGCCCTTCACCACCACGCCACCTGCTGGCCCCTGACCACCACATTCGGAGGTGGGAGGGCTGGTCCTGATTTTCCTCACATCTAGAGAGGGTCACAGCATCCCACTCTGCTGAAATGGCCACCTGGAGACATCCTGCCCTCCCCAGCCCGCTCTCCCCCAGCACTCACAGAAGCAGCCGGTCCAGGTATGCAATGGCAAAGGGAGACAGCGACTTGATGCCCAGCACAGGCATCATGATCCCCAGCCACACTGCGGGCACAAAAGTCATGGAGAAAGCCTCAGGTGTGTGCCACAGGGACATCCGAGAGGAGCGCCTGGCTCCAAGACACTCCCTCTTTCTTCCCCACCTTCTTGTTACCTTTCAGTCCTTCGGTGAGGCTGGAAAAGCCCGCTTGACCCAGGGCCCACATGATGGTCAGACACTTCGCTGGTCGGCCCTGGTGGGATCGCAGCAGTTCCAGGAACTAAGGAGACCAGTGGGGAAGGGAGGATGAGATAGGGTACCAGGAGTACCCCCAAAGCCCGGTGAGACAGAGATGTCAACTGGGAAGGAGGGGCAGTTCAAGTGACAGTGGGACACCAGGGTGCTGCTGTCATTCAGGGCATGGGCTTCATGCACTCTGCCAACCCTAGGAGAGTTACTGAACCCCTCTGTGGCTCAACCGTCCTGTCTATAAAGTGTAAATACACTAGTACGTGCTTCCTGGTACCTGAGGCAGGCACAGTAAGCATTAACAGTATTACTTATTAGTACTGGTCCTACAGGATCTTCCTCTATCCCAGAACTGAGCCAAGAAGGTAGACTTCATCCAGCCTCCTGGCAGTCCTGCTGCCATCCACAGCTCACCTTGCTCAGGTTCGTGGTGGCAATCTTGGGCTTGTCTTGCAGAATGGCCTGGATACAGATGCGATAACCATGCAGTGACTCTCCTGGAGAGATACACATTCTCAGACCTACTCATACCACTTGGTATCCAGAACTTGAAACCCCCCTTTTGGCAGGGCTATAGGCCAAGAATACAGGCCCAGGAAATCCTAGCTTCCTCTTCCCCTGCCGAAGAGTGTCAAGACCAGCGCGTATCTCTGCTGAAAACAATTGCTCTGCCATGCCAGAGCAGGAAAAAAGGTACAGGCCCCCAAGACAGTTATCCTTCCCGGCCTGTCTTACCTGGTGTCTTATCCAGCTCTTGCAGCATGGTGAACAGACAATGGTCAAAAAAGAGCTCCAGTGACCCTGCTGCCTTCGCCAATAGGCCTCGGATGATCCCACGCAGCTCCCGGTTCACCAGGCTGAAGGGATAATCTGGGGCCCAGGGTCCTCCACATGAGTGCTAAGACCAGATGCCTCTGCCAGCCTGGAGAACTCTGGTGCTCTCCCTGAGAACCGTGAGTGGAGGAAGAGGGCCCTGCACTGAGGCTGGCATCCTCCCTCTTCAATGAGGCCCCAAAACATTCACAGTCAAGATGACTGGAGAACAGCTCAAAGCACTCACATACATCAGGATGGTGGAGAGCACTGGGCCCTGTTACTAACACCCAGCCCTTAGAATTTTCTTGAACTTTTCTGAGCTTAAGGGAGTCAGAAGACTAACCATGAGGATGCTGGCTCAGCGTGGGTTCACTTAGAGGCGCTTGTAGCTTGTAGTTGAGATAACTGGCCAGGTCCTTCAACCAGATGGATGGGTTCCCAGAGAACACACTCTGGCTCTTGTCCAGTTCCTTCTGCAGAGCGGCCACATCCAACTGCCAGGGACACAACCCCACGGTGAGTTGCGAATGAGGGGAGACGGGGTAAGGGTGGGGAAATGGTAGGAAAAACAACGGTTTCTGTTTTTAAGCGTAAGTATGTGGGATGCCACAATTTTGCTGTATCCAGGTCTTTAGAGGACAGCAGAGAACCCTGATCGCTAGGCCCTATACATCTACGCCTTCACATGCTCAAGGGAAGAAACAGGACAATACGGAACATGAAAAATGACTGGTTCCATGGGGCGGGGGACCACCCAGTTTCTCTGTCCCCTCTCTGGTGTTCTTGGGGGTCTTTTTATTTTTTGAGAGGTTTTAGCTATAGAGCGCGTACGCTCGCCAGAAAGACAGAGAGAGACAGAAAGCGAGAAATCACCCCCTGGGGGGATGGCCACGCTGCAATCCCTTCTCCTCCATTCTCCTCTCGGGATCTTGGGCACGCACGCACACGCGCCTGGTGTGAGTTTAAGCCACCAGGTACAGACTCTAACCACGGTCAACTACATGGGAGTCCAGCGACATGGCCATTACGCCATCTGTTGGTCCCTCTTGGGGGTCTTAAAAGCTTTCCTCTCACAATTCTGTATTTCCCTGTAGACTGCCCACTTCCTTTCCATTCTAAATGCAAACACTCTATTCCCTTATGGTTTCCGTCTTTTCCTGAGCTCCTCCTCTCAACCCATAGCATCCCAATCCCATGGGACTCTCAGCTGCCTATCTCTCTCCCTTCCTTTCATCTTCTCTAGTCCTTAAGCCCCTGTTCTTCCAGTGCCTGAGGGCTAGGCACACTCACAGCTCTCAGCGCCTCCTCCAGGCTGCGGAAGCGGCCCTGCTTCTGGTTTTGGTTGGTGAGGGTCGCCACCTTCTTTGGCTGCTTCTTGTTCCCTGGTTTCTTAGGTTCCACAGCAGGGGGTGGAACTTGTTCCTTATTCTGCCGCTTCATGATTTTCTCAAAGCCCCGCTCATAGAGTGTACTTGTGGTCTGGATTGGAGCTGAGTGAAGACAGGCAGAGAAAGGGGGCCATCCCTGAGTCCCTGGGGCTCAAGGGAGCAGTGGTTTTCTTCCCCCACACTGTCATCTAATTCATCTGCAGGAAGGAAGGAGCCTGCCTTAGCCCATTCCTGAAGGAGCGCTTAAGAAGCAGGCAGGGAGCCCTGCCCATCGCTTCTCTAGTCCAAGGGCTCTTCCTGAAATGAGCAGCTGGGGCACCTCTTCAGTAGACAAATGAGTGCACGTGGAACCAGCAGACGGGTTCCAAACAGGGGACTGGCTTCTTTGGTGAGTGACTACTAGGCAGGGAAGACAGGCTTTTTCCATCTTGGTTCCACCCCAACTCTTCTTGGCTTGGAGGTGACAACTCTGTAATCAACAAGTGGCAAGCTTTCTCCACTCTTTGGGAGACTTTGAGGAAACAGCAGCCACTCAGAATAATACCTAGTGGGCGACCAGAGTGTGTGGCGGGCCATTTGTCCCACTGCTGGGTCTCCTGCCTGCCCCTCCCCATCCACTGGCTATCAAGGAGGGGACACACCCGTTGTACAGATCCAGGAGCCTCCTCCTGGTCTCAGACACCTGCCCAGAGAGGCCAGCTAGGACCTGGGACAGCTGGGAGGATGGTGTGCAGTGACCTGGGCGTCTACGACTTCAATCCTAGTCCCCCCCAACACGTGATCCTGGGCAAGGACCCTGGACAAGGATCCTGGACAAGGTGACCAACTTCACTGGGCCTCAGTTTACTCGTCTGTGTGGCAGGGACAGCAATCTTCCTCGCGCCATCTACCTCTCTCGAGGCTCTAAAGAGACAACGCAGGCGTGGCACCGGGGTGAGCCTGCAAGCTGGAGCTGGGGGCCCAGGCGGGGCCCTGCGGTGGGGGCTCGGGGGCGGCTCGGGGCTCCCCTGCCGGACAGGCGCGGGCGGCAGCGCCGGGCGGTACTCACGGGTCAGGTCGTATTTCCACACTCCGTTC